CGTAAAATGTTGTCAAGTTACGTCCACTTATCTGACCTCGTATAATCCTTGGAGTCATTTTATTTACGGTTCATGACGGTAAGTCTATTTGAGTACCTTCTCGTACTCGTGGTTTATTTTCCCATTGTTGCGAGATGGCCTTGTGTATCATGGTTATTGCAAGAGTTGCTTCTATCCCATTGTGGATGAGGAGTAAGCCTTGGGCGAGCTTCTTTATTAATTCCTATCCTTGCTTTTGTGGACCGTGATCTAGCTTGGCAATCGTATCAAACTATGTTGGAAACTTTATTTTCAAACTTATTTGCTTGCTTCGCTTTATTTATCAAACTTGGTTTGTAATAACTTTTATTCAGTACTCGATGATGAAAGGTATCTCGTGAACTTTATGTAATATGTGGCATGTATGTTGAATCATACGATCTTGGTTGTTGTAAATCGTTTATCGAGACCCATCGTGGTACTCGACGGACTACCGGGTTTATATGGGTTCAAGTATGACGGTCATGCGACCCCCTTGCGGATTGCCATTGTACTTGTATTCTTATAAATTGATGGGGTTCTGCGACAACTGGTATCAGAGCAAGATTCAACGTTAATTGTCACAAGTGTATTTAAAACAAAAGTTTTTGTTTTCCGAAAACCCTTCTCTAGCAACTAATAGTTATATAATAGGTATTTGAAATCTAAAGTGTGCCAATGATCACTTTCCTTATGCCCAAATTAAGGACTATTAGGTGACTATTTAAGTACTAACATGGGGGTTTTTACTTCGTCGTCCATACGGCGTGCTATTGTATGGATGCCATTCACTTGAATGGTAATGTATGGATCAAATGCCTCTACGCCAAGGTAAGATGAGTGTATGACCGTAAGATGTGAGCATGCGGTCGGGAAGAGTAAGCTTTGGTACGGCTACGTATACATGCTTGCATGTGTATATGGTACGTATTTAATTGTAGGTTAAATTATTGTCGGGTAGATTGATACGGAAGTATATGTATGGGTATACATATATGGAAGTATTTACAATTACATTCTGCATATTCATTATGGGTTTAGGGCTGAAATGAAATTTTATGCAGGTACACTAACAACGAAACGTGTAGCTCGACTAGTTACGCTATTTATGAGAAAACGTATGTATGCCACCGTGTCTACCGCTAGAAACAAATTTTTCCTAAGTTTGTGAGGACGTACGGAACGAGAATGCATCATGATAATTACCATGCACATAATTAAATTGTTCCTCCCCTTATAAAATTCTTACTCAGTTATGTAACTCTTATCCGTCATGGTCTTGTCTCACCTATTGGTACATGTTAATGGTGCAGATGGCACACACAAAGCAGACCGCTTGCAAGTCCACCGGAGGCAGAGCTCCCCGCCGTCAGCTTGCTCCACGTACCCGTCAACGTAGCTACAGTGCATTCGGCGGCGCTGATTCGGACAAACTAAACGAGGCGATAGATAGAAGCCGAGTGTGGGGGGCCAAAGACTTACTCAGCCTGTTCGCTTGCTCGTAAACGATCGTAAATTTTCAGCCGGAAACAATGTTTTTCTCTCATACCAAACCAGCCAGCAGTAAATAATCCACGATACGATACGGCCTCCCGAACTGACAATCGCAAGCGGATGGCCCTCCTGCAGAAGGACAGCACCAACATCAGAATCACTGGCATCTGTTTGGAGTTGAAATGGCCAGAACTGGAGCCGAGACCAACGCTGTCTTGAGCGCATTGAATGCAGCAGTATGAGCCAAAGTCCACACGAACGGTGTTCCTTTTTTCAGCAGATCAGTGAGTGGTCATGCTAGGAGAGCAAAGTTACTGCTGAACTTACGGTAATATCCCGCAAGGCCTAAGAAGCTCTTTAAACATCTTGCGGCTGAGGCTGAATTGACTGGGAGGCAAACTCAGCGCTGAGGAACGAATGGCCACTCCCAGAATCAACCAGAATGAGAACACTGCGCCCGCGCAGCTGGCCTTGGAACTGCAGGGTGCGAGCAGTGGTTGAGTCTGACACAGCCACAGAAGACAGCAGCATGAAGGCTTGCTCCGTTGCAACATCGGCCCGTTCGCTTGTCTTCAAAATGGATTGTTCGACTTCTTTTTTCAGCCGAAACAGTGTTTTTTTCTCACAACAATTCATCCGGAATAGTGTTTTCAGCCAGTTTCAGCCAAGTTTCAGACCAGCGAACGGGGCCATCAGCAGCATAAATCTGTGATTTAAGTTTTCATAATTTGAAAATCAATATTTTAAAATTTTCAAATGACATGTAAAGCTCATCTTGCTAAACAATCAGCGGCCAATGACCATCAATTTGTAATTTCTACAACCTTGACATTCTTAATAATGGACAAATATTGTGAAATGTATCTTCTCAAGAACATGGACAAACAAAACAAACAGAGAAAGCCATGAAGAGAACAATCATTAACTCAATCCTATTGCAATCAGTTGTTCTTGTCCTATGATTGTCAACGCTGACAAGATATTTCGAGGTTTACCATGGGGAATGAATGAATGAATGTTCCAAAGGAGTCCTAAGATATAATCCACACTAGATTCTTTTCAAGATACAGCATAAGCCATGAGCACGGTCTTCAAGTATATTTTGACCTTCAATTTTACTAACAATTTTCATAGGACAAAATTTTGCATAAAAATAATTATTTTTAATAAGGAAACAAAGTTTCGGCCTTTGCCATCTGAGAATGGTATATAACTGAATAAAAAAAGATAATTGTTGATCAGATATTACAGTGTCTAAATCTTTAAATTTGTGCGCGTCTCATAAAAAAGAAATCAGAAGGAGTCCAGAAATTACAGATAGACACGACGCCGAGTTGCATCCAGTCATCCATGGATCCACCGATGAGAAGAAAGAGATTAGCGAGAGAAACAAGCCATCGAATCACATTGGATAGAGACGGGATGAGATCCTCGTAACCATTTGCCGGCCATTTTATTCCCGACGGCGACCCGCGTACGTGTGCTCCCATCCTCCGGGACCAAATCCACGCCGTCCAGATGAGACCCAGAATACTGGCAATGTTTCAGATACACCCTCAAAAGAAAGAATCGTCTTAAGCTCCACTCATTGCAAAGGGGAAATTAACAACGAAGAACTACAAAACCCGACCGGAGTCAAACGAGCAGTCTTGTAATCACCAGGTCAATTGACTCATCATCTTTTTGTCGAATCACACACAAGCCCAGCTTATCTTCTCTAATTTATTACCTTTAACTATTTTCTTCCCCAGGCCTAAAAATTGTAGAGTTTGCATAGGTGGTCTACAGTTTTGCTACCAATGGCAACATTACTAAATACTATCAGTCTGTTCGCTTGTTTGTTTCAACCAGGACTTATTAGCCAGCCAACAGTGTTTTTTCCTCTCACAACAAACCAGCACCAGCCGGGTTTATCAACCCAGAAAACAACCAGCGAACGGGTTGTATAAATACTACACCATCTGTGCTAAAAGGAAAGTAATTCTTACTTTTAAGAAGTTAAATGATTTCAATTTTAACCGATTTCCATTTTAAACAAATCTATCTTTGCTAATTTGACGTTGTCGATCTATAAAAGTTTTTTTTAATGTTTATAGTTAAGTAAAATAAAATTTTGAACCAACATTCCTTCTGTCGAGCAGATAATAAACTACAGTAGAAGTCTGTGAAACCTTCGTATTCGTATAGGTCCATGAGCTCTTTTCATATTAAATCAACAAATGCGAGGGTTCAAATGCACATTCCTCAACGATCTTTGTGCGTCTCGGTTTCGTTGCCCGGCCGCATCCATCAATGGTCTTTATGCGATTCCGCCTGACTCATCTTCTCCTCACTCTCCCGCTCCACGCCTAAACCCAGAACCCAGCCCGCCGCAACCCCTAGCCGCCGTCGTCACCTCCATGGCGCGCCGTCGGAGGGCGCGCTAGCGGCGCTCACTCGCATGAGCGCCAGCCGCCAGCGGACGTGACAAAGCGAGCGTCTCGCGCGCTCAAAGGTCAAGGCGGCGTAGCGCGTCCACAACCGACGTGGGACTTGCAATGAGGCGCTGAAGGCACTCAAGGTCGAGGCCGGCGCCGCGCCAAGGCGCTTCAGCAGACACTCGGCTGGGAAGCGGTGGCGCCGCCAGAGGAGGAGCTACTGAAGGCGGTGGTGAACACGCTGGAGCGGGAAGCTGTTCTACATACCCTCCTTCAAGATCTACCGCGGTGTCGCGGCTCTCGACGACCACGGTCCGCCCGGTGCCGCGTCAAGGCTAACGTGCTTTCCTTACGGCGCCGGTGGCGCCACGATCATCTCTGAATGCTTTAGATTTTTTTGCACTGTAGTTTCGTCTTAGCTGATGCAAGCGGTAGTCTTATCGCCTGTGACCGGGAGGTCCCGGGTTCGAGTCGTGGTCTCCTCGCATTGCACAGGCGAGGGTAAGGCTTGCCACTGACACCCTTCCCCATACCCCGCACAGAGCGGGAGCTCCCTGCACTGGTACGCCCTTTAGTTTCGTCTTAGCTGATGTGCGTGGTTGCTGCGTGTCAACGATTGTGACATGTGTGGCCTTCAGATGCGGGAAAGTGGTTTGTTTTAAGCGTTAATTAACTGATGTATAGAATTTTGTTTTCCCCTGGGGGGTTTGTATCTATAATCTGGATTATGACAACGATTTTCTGTTAGGACAGGAGTGTTGCATTGGTCCAGTTGATAATTTTTTCCATGGTTTAGTTGTACATTGATGACTGTAATCTTATCATAACCTTTTCATGTCAATTTACTAATTGGAAAATGCGCTATGAAAAATTAGAATTTTTAGCCTTCCTTGTGTACTTTGTGTTGTTAGTTTTGGTTCTAGGTTTAAGATATGAATTACTAGTTTGTATTGGAACTGTCTACAGTATAGTTATTTCTTGTATTTGATGATTCATTTTGTTCTACTTCTTCTTTGCTAAGATTACCAAGATTCTTAATTTCTCTCCCAGCACTTCGTTTTGGAAGAGAACATGTTGGAGGTGGACTGCCCCTGTGTGACGCCTGAGGTTGTCTTGAAGGCATCAGGCCATGTCGAGAAGTTTACTGACCTCATGGTTAAAGACGAGAAGACAGGCACATGCTACCGTGCTGACCACTTGTTGAAAGATTTTTGCAAGGAGAAGCTTGAGAAAGACCTTGCCTTGCCCCAAGAGAAGGCTGATGAATTTAAGCGTATTCTTGCCATTTTGGATGACTTCTCAGCAGAGGAACTTGGTGCAAAGATTAAGGAATACGGCATTGTTGCCCCTGATACAAAGAATTCGCTTTCTGATCCCTACCCGTTCAATCTTATGTTTCAGACATCTATTGGCCCCACTGGCCTTAGCGTGGGGTAAGAATATCTCCATCCTCTCTGTGATTATGGTCCTTCTGTGGTGATTGGCTAAAAAGGTCCAATTTTGTGTGGTGCTTCCTTTGGGATTCGGTTAGTATGTCTTGATAGGGTTAAACTGACCAGGGACAAAAACTTCTATTTTCCATGCATTTAACCATTCACATGCATAATAAAGCAAAGCAAGTGTCAGGAACAAGGAACTGGACTTCATTCGGTTGCATATGTGAAGAGTTGTAGATGCATACAGAGCATTACTGATCTCTCAGTGTTTTATATCACATCAGCAGGTTGTTTGAAACATTATTTAGGTCCCAATGAGGAAGAATGTGGGTCAAGTCTTTCAAATTTGATCACATCCATTTTTTATCTGATATGATAAAAAATATATAAACTTTGTTCAGAATTTTTATCGCATATCGTATTTTTGTCAAGTAATTCACCTTGACTTGAGGTTGTTATTCTTTAGCATATTTGTATTACTGATACTTCATTTAATTCTATGAAGTTTGATTTGAGTAACATTATATTTTTCGGGAAAAATGTCGGACCACAATGCCCAATATGCCTGAACTATAAACATGTTCATGGTCTGCAAAGCTTTGTAACAGATTCAAAGCATAAAAAATTGATGCAAAGCTACATGGCGATATCTCTACACTGCACGCGATTTTGTCCACCGGTGACATTTGAAAATTTAACAACGGAATCAATTTTAAAGCAGTCACAAGAAAATTATTTCTGCAGTTATGAAAATTCCTCCTATTCTCTAATGTTCCAATTTTACAAAACCAAAAGACACAACAGATGCATAGTTCTGATTTTCTGTTCTTTATGTTATCTTCTGATTGAGCAATCATATAGTGCTTGCTAATTATTTCTATACCTTTGAACCTTTTCCATATATGTTTCTGGGAGTTTTGATTGTGGGACCATGAAGATATGCAAGTTTGATTGTAATTGACAAATGTTGTTTGATGTCCTGCCATGCTAGAAGAGGCTGATTGATATTACAGGGATATAATATGCCCATTACTCATCTGAGTGATCATTGCAAATTATTACTGGTTGTAGGAGAAGCTCCTTGACTTATTTCTTTGTCCTAATATTCAGTTTCTTTGCCTCCAAATGAGTGGATACAAGTGCCTTTTTTGAACTCAATCTCCTTTGATATTTCATGATACTTGCATTACTTCATTAGCATGTCTACATAGCAGAATTCAATTTGTCTCGGTGATCATCAATTGAAATTTACAGTAACTATAGGAATGCACTTCTCTTACTCATTGCAGTATCTCTAAAAACAAAACATATGGACATGATACATAACTCTCTTCATGTTGTACTATTACTAAAAAACTTCTATTAGTTATGGGCTTTTGTCTGATTCTACTCTGCGCTTGTGCAGAACAAACTGGAGGGACTGGTCACGTGCAGCACTACAACCTTGCTCTCAAGGTCAATAAACGTGAATAGGACTTCAGGTGCTCAGAGATATTTAGGTAATTGAAAAGCTAATCTCATAATTTGTTGTCCTGCTAGAGTTTGGAGTGGCAATGATTCTGTCTAATGCATATTCCAATATGTAAGGTTCCCTGCCCTTCTCTCTTTGTGTTTGCACCTAGAATGTTAGCACGTACTCCATATTTTAGAGTTTGGTTCTAGGTTATGCTCAAAACTTTCCTGCAAAGCTCCGACTAATGCCATTTTCTTGCTGCTGCATGGTACAATGGCATTAGGGACTTTACAATGAATTTCCATCTACCTCAACTGGAACGGACATGTGATGCCTCTCATAATGTGCTTGTAAGGAGTTAGATTAGTTTCAGAAGTACACTACTAAAGAAACCACAAGTTAACTGTTACTTGGCCATGCTAGTTCTCTACACATTCTTAAGCTGATTTATTACTAAGTTCAGTTTTCTTTACACAGTCCAGCACCACAAGTTAATTGGTTTTGCACTAATATGTAACTCTCTCTTAATGGGGAAAAGAAATGCTACTTTGGTATGTGTACTAAGAACTACTAAGTGAGTAGCTGCTGTATGTTCTATTGCTATGGCACTCATTGCCTGCTTTGTTAGTTCATTAATGACTGACTTGTTGCTTCAAGAGTGTGGCACTGTTTTGCATAAATAGAGACTGGCTGTGCACAAGCACATGGATTAACGCTTAATTCAATCTTTCTATTGAGCTTGTCATCCAAAAAAAAATAGTTTAACGCTGCATATTTTCATTAATTCAGTCTTTGACCCTGAAATTTTGTGGGGTTAAATTTTAATGAAGTTCCTGATTCATGGTTTGATGCTGCTACAGGAGGTGAATGAGATGTTGGGCAGGTCTTGGCTACTATCATATGGGGCGATTTCTGTTGGGGGTGAGTAATGTGCAATCATCATATTGATTAGACATTTCACCTTCATTTTAATTAATTTTTGGCTTGACGGTAATGGGTCGTTTTCTACAATAAGTAAAAACACAATTGACAGTTCTCAGTGCCAAGTGCAGGCCATAGTCATGATCGAATCATGGGTCTGCCACTCACGATGTTTGAATTGGAAGCGGCACCGGCAATGCTAAGCTAGGCCAGCGCTATGCACGTGTCTTGTGCGGCTCAGGTGGACAGAAGCATGATGCTACTATATCCTGCGTGGCCAAGGGAGGCAAACAACATGGGCTGCAGTGGTGCGAGGTGGAGGCAGTCAACCAGATTAGTTCATCCTGTTGATTCTTCCAACCTAAGAGTCCACATGACACAACATGTTATCCTGATAAAGTGACAACGACATATGGTCAGTGCATCCTCTTGATTCCTCCAATTTGTCAGTCCTGGCCACGCATTCTGGTAGGCTGACGGCAATTTTTTTTTTCAGGAACCCAACCTGTATCCAATGTTGGGGTATTGGTTCATGCAAACTGCTGAACGGGAGAAGTAGGAAAGCAATCAAGTCAGCGTTTGCGCCCCCTACTGCATCATCCTGGTTTCCACAATCTCCATGGCGGCACTCTGCTGTTTTGCATTTTTTGGCATTCTCCAATCAGACTCTACACAGACAAGCGCTACAATTCTCACGCGAACCAAATCACACAAACTTATTACCACATAGGAGTCAAGTTGGGAGTGCACGCATCACAGCACTACAATTCTCAAGCGAACCAAATTGCACAAACTTATTACCACATAGGAGTCAAATTGGAAGTGCACGCATCACATAGATATTCACATATTGTACATGGCACTGGATATGCCTACATGGAAGGAAATTAGATGAAACACTTTAAGCAAACTGAGGAAAGAATACAAAGGGGCAAAAACAAACAGGGGCCTACAAATTATTTCTTTGAGTTCAGTAACTTAGATGGCTGGTACCAACACACTGCTAAGCCACTCTGGCCGACCTCCAAAGGTTAGGAACCTCCAAAGGCCAGGGACCTCCAAAGGGCAACACAAGTAAGGCATAAAGATCCTTATATCTACTAAGCTGGCAAAGTGGACTCGTGGATACAATAGCCCAGGGACCTCCAAAGGCCAACACAAGTAAGGACTCATAGGTCAAGGATATAGCACAACGGTGCACTACTCACTACTTGACAGACTTAAAATTGGAACACTGGTTATGGCACCAACATGTGGCGCATAGAATAGCATCAGATCTATTGGATGAAGCTATGTAGCGATAGGTAGTTTTGATGGTGGAGTCCACAGACGTAGGCTTACTCGCCATTGCAACTGCAAGGTGGAAATACTTTGCCACCCAACTGATGGAACCCAGACAATAAAATTGTAAAAGAACGAAGGAGCTACCTTGCCCTGTCTTTCTGCCTAGAGAATAGTTCCTTGCGAGCTGACCTTGATCTCTTGCCAAGAATAGTTCTACATAAAAACTATATAAGCAAACCACCTATACATGGGCCTTACTTCACCCAGGAAGGTGACCGCAACCACATAAGGATATATATTGGAGGAACTAAAATGAGGGCACATGCAAGCAAGCACCGAGAGGAGGGCGATGAAGCAATGGATGGCACACCACATGGTTATATAGGCAAGAGCTGGAGACTTAAGGAGGCATGGGCGCCTCTGCCACCACTGGGTGCAAGGAGCTCATTAGTGGCAATGGGGCCCAACCTAAGCATCTCTGCGCATGGATGCATGTGAGAGTACAAATGACCATGCATGTTCCTCAAGTGGGAGCTATTTTTCATCTAGGAGAGACACTAAATGCGTCCACCTACTTTTGACCTATGCGGCGCATGTGAAGTTTTTAATCGAGTTCTTGTCTCAAGCAACACTTTGCAAGTTCTTTATGTGCAAGTACAAATGTCCACCGTCCATGCATGGTCCTAGAAGTGGCGAATTGTTTTTGGATAGAGAAATGTGCGCCGTTCATACATGGAGAGAGTAGTAAGGACGAGAGGCATTAAATGTGCCCACCGCTTTCGAGCTAGCAGGTTTCAAATTTCTTGAGTGAATTTTTGCATGTAAATACCTTTTGTTCATTTATCATCCACTTGCTTACCGATAGTAAACTCTTGTATATAAAGAGAATAAGGCATTACATGTGTTGCTAATACTATGGTTCTGGATGTGGCGTCATGTCTCCAAATTTACTGGTAGTGAATTTCTGTATGTAAATACCTATTGTCCATTGATCTATCCACATGTGTTGTTAATACTATGGTCCCGGACGTGGCGATATGTTTTCAAATTTCATTGAGTGAAGTTACGCATGTGAATACCTTACATTCATTTATGTATGCACTTATTTCTTGATAGTAAATTCTTGTATGTAAAGAGAAAAGCGATAGTCAATTATTGTATGTAATGGGAAAAGGGCATTGCATGTTACGGACGTGGCGTCCTATTTTCAAATTCTTGGCATGTAAATACCTATTCATTTATCATCCACTTGCTCCATTCAATGTCGATTGGCGGTGGATGGCGGGGTAGAAATCAGTGACATGACTGCTTAGAGCCTAGTAGATGGCTTAAGTACATGATGT